ATATATATATAATAAACATATAATATATATATCAAATATATAATATATTGAGGAAATATATATAATATAGAGAATTATATTATTAAAATGTCTACGAGCAAAATCGATATATCACATATATAAGATACGATAATTAATCCTGTTGATAATTAATCGTGTTGCGATAAACAATATTTATCTTTCTATTTGAGATGTGAAGGATTTCATAAAAGTAACATAATATCATCAACTTATTTTTGGATAAATTCGATGAAAACAAATAGTAAATAAGGGATATTTAAAAGTATATATTTCATATACATATTAATAAGTGGTTAAAATAATGTTTTATTTTATAAATAATCCTTATAATCTTTTCTTATGTAACATTTTTATGTAACGTTTTTGTACTTTGTATTTATACCTATATTTTATTTTCTATTGTACAGTTATGTAATTATTTTCTTAGCAATTTTTTAAAAGTTTTTACTTTCAATCCGTAAAGTTTCACTCAATACACAAATTATAAATAATATAGTTATATTTAAGATTTTCAATTTTTAGAAAGTTTATTTTCTTGTACTATATTAAAAATATACTTAATTATAAAATTTTGATTTTTAATTGTAAAATCAAGCATCACATATTCTTAAATTTTAATAAATTTAATAAACTTTAATAAATTTGAGAATATAAATTTATTTTTTCCTTATTAGTAATTTAAAATCTGTACGGAAAATTTGTACGGAAATGACTTGTATTTAATTTATCAAAAAATAATAAGAAATAAATTAAATAAAATCAATTTTCTTACATCTAATGCATGCTTACTCAATTACGTAATTACTTAAATTAATTACTTAATTACTTAAATTAGTTACAACGGTGTGATGCATATTTTTTCTTGGTTCCACGTTTAACCAAAAACCACCTTTAGGCTTCAAAAGAAAACCATCTGTGAGCTTGATCGGTATCGGTGTCTTCTGGCAAACTTTCAAATTGCAACGAGCTAGCAGATGAAAAAATAAAATCTTTATCTCTATCAATGCGAATCTGTTATCTATGCACATTCTGGGACCAAGACCGAAAGGAAAATAGGCACCGTAATTTAGACTGTTTTTCCTCTTTTCACCAAGAAATCGCTGGGGATCAAACTTTTCCGGCTCTTCAAAATATTTAGGATCATGATGAAGTGAATAAATTGATATCCATATGCCACATTCTTTCTTAATAGTAAAAGATTTTTTTCCTGGTAATGCCGGCGGTAACTCGAAATTTTTTATGCATAATCTGTCCATTTGCGGAATAATCGGATACATTCGTAGAGCTTCGCAGATCACAGCATCTAAATATTCCATAGCATTAACAGCTTCATAAAATACTTGTCCGTCGTTTTCTTCCAAGATTCGGTCGATCTCATTTTGAAGTTTTTTTTGTATATCCTGATTTATAGCGATTTCATGAGCAGCAAAACACATTAACGATGAAGTACTATCGAAACCACCAAAGAAAAAGATAAACGCTTGTGCTACCATATCTTCAATGATCAGTTGTGCCTTATCTCCTTTACCCCTATTTTCCATCATCAACTGCAACATATCAGGCCGAATAATACCATTCTCATTCCTAGCTTCTATGGTGGCTTCCAGAAGATCTCGGAAGAAGTTTGCCGCTTTCTGACGAATCAATCTTAAATTTATTAATCGCGCCAGCCAAGGCAAGTTTTTGTATATGTATAATTTTAATAAGGTTACACTACTCTTTGCCGTATACATAGACTTTGTTCTTTGGATTTCTCATTGAATCAACATTGACGCCAAAGGCACAAGTAGCAATTACGTCATTCGTATATCTAGCAAAACATCTTTCATTTGCACCATTCTTTGTTCTGATGGTAATTGCGCCAAGAAAGTGCTGAAATTGGCACCGCGTTCTGATATTAACTTAAACATATTTTTCATGTTGCTAGACGTGAAGGCTGGGCTCAATAAAGCTCGTACCTGTCGCCACTTCTCGCCGCGAATAGAGAAAAGATTTTTACCAAATATTGGATCTTGCGTTTCGTCCACGAAGTTTCGATGATCCAGGAATGCATCAGAATGCCTTAATGTAATGGATTTAATAAGCTCGGGATCACGCACCACTATCATTGGAGTAGTCGGCATATCAAATACGCCAGACATATTTCGCTTCAGAATTCAAATCGTAAAATTCCTTAATAAGTTCGGCTGTCGATTTGAGACCAAAAATTGATGGTCCCATATTTCCCAGTATAGGAAGTGGTGGCTTATACAATATATCATGTTTTTTATATGTCATGTTTTTTAAAATAATTCATATCTTTGGAAAAATAATAATATACACCTAGAACACCCGCTATCACTGACAAAGCAATTATATATATCATGTTAATGTGTATCTGTCACCGTTATTCCTCTGAATCAAAATACACTTTATAATTTTGTGGAAAGTGAAATCAACTTTTGTATTCGTTGGCAATTAGCTTGAATACTTCTATTTCGTGTTATTAAGAAAGATATAATAAGATACAATGTTACGTTTGAGAGTAGCTATTGGCGTTTATGTTCTGGCTCGATCGTTCTAATATATTTTCCGATTCGTGATCGCTTACGAAAATAGTAATGTTTTTTAAGTAAAGAAACATATATATTTGTTTTATCTTGTTCATATTCAATTTTATTTAACGTTGTATTTATCATTATATTTATTCTTGATGTCTATAAGGATGATATACTATTAAAAGAAATTTTAATTTTGCGATAATATATATGATATTATCAAAGTTTAAGTATGCACGTATTAATAAAACATTTGTGTTATAAATAATCATGAATTTAATATTTATTATTCATATTCACATAGATAAATATAAATTTATTTATTTTATATAAATATTCATAAAAATATTATAAGTGTATTTATATACTTATACAAATATTTGAATTCTAAATTGCTGAGTTCATAATTATTTATAACACAAATGTATCTTAAATGAGTGGGCAGACTTATACTCCTATAATATCATATATACTTCAGTAGAATTAAAATTTTGTTTACTATTTTACATAACCTTTGCAGATAATCAAACAAAAATAATAACTATAAAAGTGCAATTTTAATAAAATTTTAATAAAATTAAACATGAACAACTTGTAAATATATGTACTTGTCTACCAAGTATCAGAATAATAATAATAAAAATAAATTAATATCATCGATATATCTATTCATCAAGTAACTTTTCAGTTTCTGCATCGTATTTTGTTTTTATAAACGCGTTTTCAAATAAATATATCATATTCTATCATATATTTATCAGATTAGATAAATTTATATCAATATCAGATAAATTTATATCAATAATCGGAAATGACGATATTCTTCATTTATCTTCCCAAGCCTTTTTCATGATCATGAAAATTTGTCTAGAATAATGGTCTTTAATAATATCTCATCGATGATATTAAATGGTGAATGAATCATTTTATTATTTTCCACTATAGTATATCCACTATAGTATATATCTTTTTAAATTTTTGTAAAAAGATTTTTATAACTTTTATTGAGTGAAGCTTCATAGAATGAAGATAAAAGACATTTTTAACAAATTAATAAGACACGTAAAAAGATTTGATATCAAAAACTAACATTAAACTTATAATTGTCAATAAAATTTAGTATAATTATTCTTATAATTAACCTTATAATCGTGTGTATTATGAAAAATTTAACTAACAAGAATTTAATTTACGTAGTTTTAATTTGTATTGTATGGTTATGTAATCAACATATCTGAATAATTTTTTTGAAATTTTTCTAATTAATAATAAATTTCTATATAAAAAAACCAAGAAAATATTCCTAAAAATAGAAAAAATATAGTGACAGGATATATGCGATTATTAAACTTAATGTAATAATTGTACATTTATTTATATAATAAATAAAAATTGGATTTGATTCATAATGATAATGCAAAATAAGAAATGATATAAATTTGTTCTACTTTATATCTTTTTTCACCGTGTTTTTAGAGATATATAAGAATTAAAATAATAATATTTAATTTACTACAAATATTTCTGATGTAAAAATATCATTCTTTTCTGCTGCTCAAATGACGTAACGCATCAAATTATTTTTATATGTCGATTCAGTAAAAACAAATAGCATACAAGGCAAATTTAAAGATTAAAAAATATGTATTCTATATAT